TGTCAGCATCTCATAAGAGAAGTCAGTGGAGAAGCCCGCAGGAAGTCAGAAGTCACCCCTGCCCCCATTGTTTTTTGCCCACCCACTCTGTTTCTCTGTTTAGATAAGGAAATATTTCTGAAATGAAATATTTCAGATTGTAGGTTGTCTAGTAAAATATGAAATTCCACATGACAACAAGAGAAGGCAAGAGAAAGAGAGAAAAACAATATACATATATTTCATTACCATGCTTAAGTTTGCTGAACAACTTGTAATGGAGTATGGTAATGTTTTTAAACCCGTACAAAAACCTAAGGTTCATTTACATATTATTATTTCTCTCTCCCCCCCTGTTCACTTTATGCATCCAGATGAGATATTTATCATAATATAAAGTGATGGTTCACGGGTTTTGCAGGGAGTCCCAGTGATACTACTTTTCATTTGGTCCATTTTTTCCTATCAGTTTTCTTAATGGAATAGTTTCATGGTGCTACTTGCTTCAAATTGCTTTCTCTTTCCTTTTAAGAGAGCTGGGCTGGAGCCAAATTAAGTTACACTTAGTTCCCATTAAAATAATGGCTAACTCATCGTGTTAATGCCTTGATAATGTCAAAAATGTGATTGTGTTTTGGAATATGAATATAGACATGTTTTTTTAAAAATGCTTTTAATTTCCAGAAATCCAACAAGTACCCAAGACAGAAGAGGTAGAAGAATCCAGCGAAGAAGGTATATTTTGTAAATTACACCTGCCACTGTTCTTATAGGCTAAATATTACTATTACTGAGAGAGAGAGAGAGGAGAGAGAGGGGGGAGGGAGGGGCTAGTCATTTACTTTGGGTTTTAGAAGAATTTCGTAATTAATTGGCAGTGGTTGGCAGTGTAGAAATTAATAGTAATGAAGTTAGCATTCTAGTCATAGATTAGGACTATATTAAATCAAGCACTACATGAGATCACTATATTTTAATTGGGTTGTTTCTTCTGTCCTGGAATGACTGAAGGAATTAGGACTATTTTCTTGAATTTTACACAACCTATCTCCTTCAATAGCAGATTAAATTGAAGTCAGATGAAGAAGTCTGTTTTTTGTTTGCCTGAAATAAATGTTTAAGTGGCAGTTTTGGGGTAGGGTATAAATATTAAACATTCCAGAATTGGAATTTTTAACCATGCTTCAGTTTCTGCAGAACTGGAGGATACTTTGGACAGGAAGAATAGAGTTCTGGAAACACTGCGGAAGGATCCCAATTTGTTGAAGCAATTCCGGCCAATTCTGGAAGAGACACTTGAAGATAAACTGGAGACCATGGGAGTGAAACGAGTAAGTGCTATGAGAAGAAAAAAGTAGAAAAGGAACATTTTTCATTTTTAATCTACTAGACTTACTTTGAATTTCAGCTGGATCCTATTCTGAGTATTGCAATATGTATTAATTTGATCAAAAAGTGACATAAAATTATCTGTAAACATTTGTTCAACACATTCACATGCTTGACAGAAAATTGAAAAGCACACACACACACCCCAAAAAAATCTTACTCTTCCTCTCCTCCTCCTCCTCCGAACATTTTTTTCAGGAAAATGGCTTGCCCAAGGAACTACTTTATCTTTTGCCTCCAAAAATCAGGAAGTGCTAATTAAAAAAATATTCTTTTAAGATTCATTCTTGACTTCTTTGTCTCAGTATATTGCAACAAACCAATAAAATGCAAGGAAATAAGAAACCATGAGACAAATATATTTGGAAGAAATGCATTCTTGCTTATGCAGTGTAGCTGTTGCAGGGAGTGTGGAAATACTTAGGATCAAACCGTCATTCACAATAAACAAAAACTATATTGTGAACTAATTTATTATTTCTCTTTAACTGTAATATTGCAAAATTTAAAACAAACTTCTGGATTGCCTCACATTTTTACTTTCATAGCTAGATAGTTTATCAGTGACATGCATCTAAAGCAAATAATGTGTCTTAAAGACCC